GTGTGTGTGTGTGTGTGTGTGTGTGTGTGTGTGTGTGTGTGTGTGTGTGTGTGTGTGTGTGACAATTCCGTGCAGTGTCACTTATATAGATCAAAAGGGGGGTCGCTTATGCTAATCTCTTTGTTACTATCTTCATTTCAGTAACTCAGACGAGCTCATACCATGCTTGCTAGCGAGAAAAAGGCAATAATTTGTAGATTTGTACGAATTCAAGTAATTTGTTTCAATCAGAGTATCGTGTATAATGCTGCCTTCCATCCTTACACCAAGTCTAGTGATAGCAGTGAGCCAATATTGTGTATAAGCTAATCCATCAATATATATATATATATATATATGGTTTCAGCCGAACCCATGAATACGTGCCACCTGCCAACACAATTCAGGACAGCTTTTCCCTAACGACTTCAAAACCCTCTGCACCGCAAATTTGTTACATATTTTCACACGAACTAACTTTCTACTACTATATGCTTTCTATGTGCATTTATATTAAACGTAATTCCTACTTCAATCTTTCGTCGACACAATCGCCGACTTGCAGCTTTATTATACGTATTCTCGCACATACCTATTTACATAGGAATTACCGGTGTTTGCTATTACATTAATTACCGTTATCCTGATTGTGTTATTAATTATTATCACATACTTTATAGACAGTATAGGACACCGGATCCTTCGTGCATCGAGGGGTCAATGCTTGGTTTGTGCGCCAGCACGTTTGCGTTGTTAGACGTGATGCAGATTCATGTGTTCACATTCACGTTCATGCACCATGCTTCATACGACCCACTGCACGAATTGTCTTTTCATTGCTTTGCTAGTAACATGATAAGATCATCACTAGTGGCATCACACTTCAGCTAGTAAACGGACGTATTTGTTACTAGTATCAGAACACATTCACGAGGTTATCAATTACTTATTATCTACGTTTACGATCATTGTAATATCATAACCTGCACTATCATATATTAATCAGAAATTTTATATGTTCACGCATAAAACCATACCTTCACCCATAATGCCATATGATCACCCATTATACCATATTATCACCCATTATATTATGTCTTTACGAATACTATCATCATTTCAACCGTATAGGTCATACATTCGTCAACAAATATAACATTTGCATACACTGACGCCATAGGTCGTCGTTGGCATCACCTTTGCATGAGCCGCCAGAGAGACGTTCGGAGCTAATCCAACATTCACCGATAACACGATATCTTAGCGTGCGCTATCATACCTTCATACGCTTTATCATAGTTTTACCTGCACTCATGCACTCCCCCATAGTTTCACACGCTTACATGTACCATCATGCCTTTACCTGTAGTATCATGCACCTACCGATAATATGATACCTTCTCGTGTAACGTCATACCACTTCACGTCATATCACACCTTCATCTGTAATATCACACAATCATTCGTAATATCACACCTTCATCTGTACTATCACACCTTCATCTGTAATATCACACAATCATTCGTAATATCACCCCTTATATCTGATATCTCACCCATATCCGCAATATCTCACCATCATTTGTTATATCACGCATTCAATAGAATGCATTTATTCACAGTATCACCCCTTCATCCGTGATTTCTCACACTCAAACGCGATATCATATACGCCTATCCCTTAATCTAATGCCTTCACCCGTCACAATTATTCTACTTGTAATACCTTAGCTTGTTTAAATTGCCATTTACCGCACCGATTCAAATGATCGCAATACGATCGCAAAATACTGAAGCCACATATTTACTCGCCTTTCATATACGTATCTCCGTAATCACATCTGTATCATAAGTAATCACATAACCTGACGAAGCGCAGTGCTGTTCGAGTATGATTTTTGTAAATTATATTTTCTGTTACATTGTTATTGTGCAGTTACGTTAGCAATAAATAAACTGCTAATGATTATCTACATGCTTTGTGTTGTTTTTACGTGTACGTGTGATTATAATTGTGCGCATGCAATCTCACTTTTACATTTATTGACAATTGCGTGACAATTGAATTACATTTATAGACAGAATTATTAAATCAGAATTGACTCACGGCTCGTGATTTGGTTGTAGGACGCCAAAAAGCGCGTCTGAAGTGCGGATAGTCCAACGGGGAGGTGTGTGCGTGTGTGACCAAACAAGCAAATACAAAAACAGTAACAACACGACAGTAACTCACAAACACATATTATAGCTACTTACGCGCGCACACACACATGCGCACGCACACATACGCACGCACACACGCACGCACACTCGGACGTAAACGTAATAACGAGATGTGGTTCCCCCCCGGCCCACACACACTTGTGATTTTACTGCCTACCAGGAACGGACGATGATTTTGGGTGTTATAAAGTTACTATAGTCACAAGAAAATATCGATTATCACTATTTGTAATATAAGCACTATTTTTGCAACATTTAGATAATTAGGAGAGATATAAAACGGGTCCAACGCACCATAGTGTAAACGTGGTGATTTCATTACAGTCTCTTCTATATACTTCTATATGCCAAACAGTGTCTTATAGTTTAGACAGGAATGGCCTATGTCCATGAAATTGTCGACGCAGAAAGGAATAAACTGGCATCTCAACCATCACCTACAAAAGAAAAGGTAACGTTGATGCCCTGAGAAAACCACGTCAATTCACAATGCATGCATATAAGCCGCTGATCAGGATGGATGGGCTACGTTGTGCTGACAGCGTATTCCTCATAGACTATGAAACTCGTGAATATATCTCATCGCTATCATACTGTAATCCTGCTAATAGATAAATGTGCAGTATAAACTTATAAATATATATCAGAATTAGATAATAGGGGATTCCCTATTATCTACTTCTGATACCTGTTATTAGGACCCTGATTCCACTCGAGACATGTAAAATGCGATTAAGGAAATGCAAGATTGCGGGGTATGCCTGGATCATGAGGTGGCGTGGAAGGCATATGTATGCTATCTAACGATAAACAATTTCATTTATAGTTTTTACATTTTGTTTAAGTTTACTTTCCCATGTTACGTCGGAATCCATTACGCTTATTTCCGCAACAGCGCCAGGAATATCACTCATGTGGCGCAAAGTCAACTAGCTTCGTGAATAAAATTTTGCTATGGAACATTGCCTTCTTGGACCACTCAAAGACAACTCAAATCGTGTTATTTTTCGGCAAAATTAAGCCCGGAAAATGTCGGATAGCATTCGCGTTGTCATGACACCAGAGATAATCGAATATACAAATAGGACGCACACGGCCAATAATTGATATACCCAAATACTAAATGCATACATATACATACCGAACAGATTGGATCGCAAACACATCAACGCATACAAATATACATATAAATACATAAAACAGACACACATGAACGAACATATAGGTTATATAGGTTATTCCAAGTATGAATAAATTAAGGATATCAGTCATTCCGTACAGTTCTACACATGCATTCATTCTACCACGTTGGAATTCAGGATATTCTCCTTTAAATTGTTTTTTTTAATTGCGCTAAGGTGTTGAACAATGTTTTTGAAAATTTGTTGAATTTGTCATAGAAATCGCACAAAATCCGGTATAGGTATGTTTGCGATTTGTAATATGTGGTTTTTTGAAATATTATGTGGTTAGTTTGGAAATCTACATATGGTTGGACTAATTTGACAAATCATACACCATAGCTGCTGCATGACAACCATACGAGCTGAGGGTCGAAACGATGACAGCGATTATTGGTTGCATGGCAACATGTAGCGGCGTCGTCGCGTATTTCGATGCTGCGTGCGAACACGACACAATGAGCACGGATGCTTTGAACATATTAATGTACGTATAATATAAACGTAAATATAATGTAAAATTAGCGAATTGAAGCATCATGACAGATGTAGCCCCAGAATAACGTTGGATCTATAGCGCACCCGATATTAAAGGCGAGTTTTGGGTTGACTTGGTTTCAGCCGTCAAAAACAGCTGGGACTAGTAACTTTTAAGGCAAGGTAACCCGATCTGACCGCACAGAGCACAGTACTGTGCGCTGGACGGCAACTCAAAGTGCAGCAGTCTAGTGCTATTAAACCTCATTTAATTTTAGTTTCATTTCCGTGTGTACTAATGACCAGAACGGGCCTTAACGGTAACCGTATAGATGGCATAATATGCCAACTCGAGAACATGCGATGTGACGTATGTCCAAGCGGCAATGTGAAGCACGCATGTTATTATAGTTAATTATATGCTAATGTAATATAAATATTTCGTGAACGCCATTTCTGGCCTTATATAGTAATTAAACGTTGACGTCGCACTAAATCGCATCATGCCACGCATCCATATGTTGCATCTAGTGAATACACTGCACACTCCACAGGAGGAGACGAATAAGCTTCCTTCTGGAAAAGGAGGATTAACTCAATTAAACCCTCACGTCGTTTACTTCGCAATTAACTATTAATAATTCAAATTAGAAATAGAAATAGAAATAATAGACAGCAGTTTATAATGAATAATTAAAATTCCACATTTAAAAGGCAACGATTATTAAGATGAGGAACTTTATATGATAGATTTTGTTGAAATTCATTATTCGTTGGTTACCAGAAAACAAATTTTCATTGAAGGTCTGAATCAATCGGCAGGTGACGTAGGCAATAGTGAGAGAAGTGAAAAAGAGAACACCCAAGAGAGAAAAGAATGAGGGAAATATAAGAGCGAGAAATATAAGAGCGAGCGAGAGATAGATAGATAGATAGATAGAGAGATCGATAGATAGATAGATAGATAGATAGATAGATAGATAGATAGATAAATAAATAGATAGATAGATCGATAGATAGAAAGA